AAGAAAGAGGAGGATACCCCTTCAGTCGTCTTCGACCTGGTCGAGGAAGTAGTTCAGACAGTATCTGCCGTTGCTGACAAGAAAGAGGAGGATACCCCTTCAGTCGTCTTCGACCTGGTCGAGGAAGTAGTTCAGACAGTATCTGCCGTTGCTGAGAAGAAAGAGGAGGATACCCCTTCAGTCATCTCCGAGCTGATCGACGAAGTATCTCAGACAGTATCCGCCAATGCTGACAAGGAAGAGGAAGATAYCCCTTCAGTYATYTCCGAGCTGGTGGAAAAAGTAGTTCAGACAGTATCCGCCAATGCTGAAAAGAGAGAGGAGGATATCTCTTCAGTCATCTCCAACAACGCTGAGCAAGACGTGGAGGTTACCCCTTCAGTCATCTCCGAGCTGGTTGAAGAAGTAGTTCAGACAGTGTCCGCCAATGCTGACAAGAAAGAAGAAGATATCCCTTCAGTTATTTCCGAGCTGGTCGAGGAAGTAGTTCAGACAGTATCTGCCAATTCTRACAAGAAAGAGGAAGATATCCCTTCAGTCGTCTCCAAGCTGGTCGAGGAAGTAGTTCAGACAGTAACTGACAACGCTGAGCAAGACGTGGAGGATTTCCCTTCAGTCATTTCCGAGCTGGTCGACGAAGTAGTTCAGACAGTATCTGCCAATGATGACAAAAAAGAGGAGGTTACCCCTTCAGTCGTCTCTGAGCTGGTTGACGAAGTAGTTCAGACTGTATCTGCCACTGCTGACAAGAAAGAGGAGGATATCCTTTCAGCTATTGCAGAATCTGTCAACACTTATCAKGTRTTGGAGCATATGCCTTTAGCAGTTACYGCCGCGGTCGAGGAAGTCGTCCASACAGTATCTAATAAGGCTGTCAAGAATTTGGATGATATCCCTCCATCTGTTGCCGCCCTGGTAAAAGAGGTCGTCCAGATTGTGTCTGTCGCTGAACACGAAGTGGAGGCTTCATCAGGTGAAGACGACAGTAAACTCKTTCCTGGAAAGTCTAAAGCCGATGTACAAGCTATCAGGAAAMAGAAGWTTTGCTATAAAGAAGTGGCCGAGACATGGCGTCCTGATCACACGTTTCATCCTATATTCCTTAACCAAGTAACGGGACGATGCCTGGATTTTACGCAGAGAGATATATTGAGTCATCCTCTAAGCCGTCGTGAGCGACTWTCCCTTGTAAGCAGTGTCCTTGATGATAGTGATGTACAGGAATTGGTTGTTTATCCCCAGCACGACGATGACGAAACACTGTATCTGGGAACACAGGTCAAGAGGATGAAAGAGTGCAATGYATCTACGCAGAATGCACATGGAACTGACGTACCCTCTAATGGAATATCTTCCTCGGCTTCTGTTGTCAAAGAAACTGATAAAACTCCAGACGTAAGCAAATCAGATGTTCACGTTATCAAAKATATCCACTCTGTAACAACTGTTGTCGCAGTCAAAGAAGAAGCACCTGAAAACCTATGTTCAGAGTATGCTAACGAATCAAAAGAAGAACTCAAACGCATGACTGTCAATGGCGACAATGCATCAGCAAGCAACAAGAAAATGCTGTCATGTGAAGATGAGGAGCAACCACCTAATACCCAGTTACTTGATCTCAAYAAACATGTTGTCAAGAAAAGGATTCCTGATCCGAAGTTTCAGGCTATCTTTATGAACCAAGTAACAGGACAATGCCTGGATTTCACAGACAGAGACGTGTTGAGGCATCCCCTAAGCCGCCGTGAGCGACTTTCGTTGGTTAGCAGTGTCCTTGATGCTAGTGACATACATGAATTAGTTCTTCATCCTGAACATGATGACGACGAAACGCTTTATCAAGGTACTACAAGAGTTGAGACTTCATATCCACAAGCTTTGGCAAAAGCAAAGCAAGTTGGTGATAAAACGAAAGACAACTCCATCTTTAAAGGTGAGTTTGACAGTAGTAGTTAAAATATCATCTTGTAGTGGATTCGTGCCCACGTGGTCAACATGTATAAATGGGTACCGAAATTGCCGAGTGAAACCTAACTTTCATGATTTTTTCAATAAAACTTATAGAAATTCAGAGAAAAAAATTGACTCTGTTTGTTCTTGTTTTAATCATCAGGCAGCAAAGAGAGTTCAAATCAACTGTTCACGAAAATTATGACCGCATTGCCAGCATTACCTTTTAATGGAGCTGCGAAGCTAAGTAAGGTAAGCCATCTCGAGCTTGACTCGTCCGTCTCTGTATTGAGATGAAGGACTACTAATAAATGTGTTTTAGGGTCCCACGAAAAGCCGCGGTGAATATACCTTAACGAATGATGAGCAGCAGAATCAGGGCTGCGGTCTCACCATGTCATCATCGGACGAGATACTCCAACAGTCAAGTCATGATACCCTCAAGAGAATGCYAAGAAAAAAGCTCAAAGTAGACGACGAAATCGAGGTAACTGACAATCTATAAAAAGTCGGAACCATTTCTTTCTTACAAAGCACGAGCCCTTAAAGACTTCTTTATTCCATATAGGCACAAAAGATAAAAGYAACCATGATGGAAATAAACAAACATCGAGGAATGTCTCAACTCAGTCCAGTCAGCACTGCRTTTGTTGTAAAGTTCCTCAAAGCGAGGAAGTTTGATGTCGATGATGCAGTGGAACTATACCACAACTATATGGTATGACTAGTATTACGGTAGTGGGTGACACAACAGACAAACAGTCAAGCGGGAAAATCCACTAGACATCGATAAGAGATATACTGAAATAAATATTAGGTGATGTACACATACATGTTTCTAAGTATCTAGCCTAATAGCTGATCAGAAAACAGACTCACAGAAACTGGAGCAAATATATCAAAAAACAGTCCTTGAAAACACACACACAAACAAGCAAGGCAAAAATAATATGTTTCTGTATTTTTTATGTGAAACGTCATTTTTTTCCGTTTTTCATTTCAGTTGCAGAGAAAATTGTATTTTGTAAGTGATTCCTCACCGATAAGAAATCCTTTAAAAGCAGAACTATTGTCYGGCAGATTTACAATACTTGTAAGTACGACTAACTCGCCATTTATCTACAACAAAGATGGGAGGTGTAGTAGTCATAGTCATGGAATGCACAACTATACCTCAATATTTGCTGAGAAATTAAAAAGAAAAAAAAACGGCTTAGGAGGAATTACAAATCTAAGAAAGTTATATTTCCGCGAATTCTTTATTTTACAGCTTATAAGTCAAAGAAATCATTCAGGATTTTAGGGATAACATTGTCTTAGGTTTAAAAAATGCCATGATAGCGGCGTCTATTTTAGAAAAGGTCTATTGGTACATAGTCTCCTCGCAGCCGTGTTTAGTTTCGGTCACGCGTCACGCAACCTCTCCTAATTGGTACAGTGTCTAAATGTTGTTTGCTTTTGGGTTCAAGGATAAGCGTGACGATAACGGAACAGCCATTGCTGTATTTACGGCTCAGCGAAATTCTAGAGAGCAAAACCACAGAGTTGTGCTGACCAACATTTACTTACAGCTCAACGAGGCTTTGAAGAGGTAACACTTCATTTCAATGCATAAAGYCAATAGTGACTTAACCTGAGTGCAAACTAATACAAAGTGGAAAAGTTCATTAATGACTAGATTTTCATATTAATCATATGTAAATTCCTACCATTTTTAAAATGTGGTTGATATTATAGTCCACAGACACAAACCAATGGTATGATRCTRTTGTRCGATTTCTCAAATACGTCATATTTGACAAGTGATTCGCAACTGTGTATCAACATCGTCAACTTGCTCAAGGTAAGTGACTAATATACTGAAGTCCCCTTTCTTGGGAAAAAAACCCTTAATTTATATGCCTCTGATTTTTCTACCTGATAATATGAGTTCGCATCAAGCGTCATGATAACAGTTGTCCCGCTTTTTTATACTCAACAGGACGCATACCCTGTACGCCTCRTTAAAACCTTCATYATTTCGCCTCCATTCTGGATTGAATCAGAACTCAAATTTTGCTCAAAACTGTTGCGTGGTACAAACAGAGAAAAGATTCTCTTTRTCTCTCGATCTGGTCTAAAGAACCATTTGTGTTTGGAATGTATTCCTCAAGGACTTGGAGGAAAACTCCACGTCGATTATATGTCATGGATAGACCAGTGCATCCTGGGATATTCTGAGCAACTTGTAAAAGAGCCAATAATGAAGCCAAGATATGGCAATTATAAAGGATAACTAACATCAATTGATGAATTTGTAGATATTAATTATTTATGTATAAGTTTTCTTTAAATAAAAATAGGATGTGAATAATTATGGAGTAAAAATACATCTCTATTTGCAAACCACCACAACACAAGATACAGACACTTATATTTTTCTTTTTTGCAATTATAACAATACAGTTATAGAACATCAGTAAGTCTATGCTCCTGGAGTACACAGCTATCATTATATTTCATGTTTACATGTAGCTATTGACCGTATGAAAAACGAGCAAAAGACTGGGAATGAGCACCTTAAAACTGTTGCACCTTAAAGGTTTTTTTAACTCTGTTTTCACGATAAAAAAGAGTATAGTTAAACTAGTGAATTGGCGCAGGAGCCCATTACTAGGAGACTTCCTCTTCCCATGGGCTTGTGGAACGGCATTTACCCTTCTTGGTGCTATTTTTAGATTTTCCCGCCATTCCCCGCGCGCTTATTGAGATGCCGAGTTGTGAAGAGCCGCCGGCCGCCGCTATCAGGTGTTTTTAGATTGAATTTTATATTTGTACAAGTGAAGACATTTTCGCTTTTACAAAAACTATTTTGTAAAAAAGGTTCAATGGCACCATTAACTATTATATTCAAATGTCTAAAGTGAAAAGGTATAAAAGATCATAAGCGAAAAAGCTCATACATGAAAGAAGAATCGCCATTTCTGGTCTCTTTACCGACGAATCTATTTATCTACACAAAATAATCTATTCTTATAATGAGTTCTTCATCTAAAAAAATGTGACAGATCACAATTAATATAAAAATCAGCATTAAATAAGTTTGTTTGTGACAGTTTTGTACAATATTTTGCATCTAAACAAAAGCTCTAATGAAGTTAAACTTACCCGGAATTTCGGCGCCTTTTTTCTTGAACAGCCGATATGAACAGTCCTCTAAAATGTCGTGGGTACTTAATTTTTTTATGGTCATATAAATTCACTAAAGGCGAACCCAGTTGCAAGAGGTGGCTTTCTCATCTGGATCTAAGTGTCAAGACCTGAAAAACTTTCAGGAGGAGCTGACAAGCAAATGTGGTGCCCTTGCTTCTTCAAATAATTTTGTTCCTGGCAAAGGTTGTCAAGGTCAAAATTTTTATGGTCAAAATGACTTTGATATTACTTGTGCTTGTTATGTCTAATCTCATCAATATGTTTTTCAGCTTGACAAAATTGAAAATATCAATAGTTGAAAAAAATTAATATCTTGGTCAATTTTAATCACACATCAACGAGTCTTTGAATTTAGATTTCCATTAGTCAGTCGCGTAGCGTGGGCTTTTTATGCACATGTCAGGGACCGCGACATATATTTTGGATCTGGGGATCTAACGAACGCGCGGGAATATTAAGGGAGTCTGGTCTTTCCCCTGAAAATTTTGAATTTTTTTTTTCAAAATTTGAAAAAATAACTCTTGGAAATGCGATTTCCAGCATTTTGAGAGACATCGAAAATAATGAAAATTTTGAATGAAACTTAAGGCCACCCCTCTGTTAATTAGGTAATTTTACTTTGAGCCCCCCCTATCTTGACATCAATTTTATGTAATGCCCCCCCCCTCTCTGGTTTTACGCCCCCCCCTCCTGGTAATTATTGCACAGTCCCTTAAGTCAATTTGTTTTGCTTGTGCTGTCCAATGAATTTTGTTGGTCTTCGGCTGTTCATGATCCGTGTTGGTTGTTGTTTTTTTCTCCAGATTTTCCCCTGTATTCCCAAGAGTAATTACACCTGTTTTCTATCACTGGCTTCCTCATCGGCTAAATATGAAGCGAAAGGTGATTCTGCTTTCCTTTTTTGGGACATATTTCTACTAAAAGTTAACTTTAAGCACAACTTATAAACTCAGGCGTTACGATAGCCAGGCCCTTTTTCATATGGTCTATGTCACACTATGAGTTTGTTGTCAAGATTTTGTATTGTTTGAAAAAAAAAAAACAGTTACCAAAGGGAGTCGGATGAAAATGAATGGTGATATTTGAGACCGTTCACTTTTTGTCGATATAGAATAATAATTTTGCATGGCTCTCCGACCCTCTATCATGGCTTTTGTTTGGGTTACCCCTCCCCCCTCCTCCCCCTCAAAACCACGAGCCCCTTCCGATAAAAAATGAACGGTCCCTCTGTGAATATAGTTTGGGTTAGGTTATTAGCACAGTATATCCCTAGGTCTTATATTACTAATCCCTTTGTTTGGAATGTTATGTATAGTTCAAAATCTCATACATAGGCCAATAAAATGAGCCTATTTGTTCAAATTGATGGAAGGTCCATGTATGTGATCAATGAACACTCTTATCATCATCTGAAATATCATTGTGGGATGCTTTTTGGGCCAAATTGACCGAGCAGTTACTTCTTCGTACCGCTGAGCATGTGCACTTGACGAATTTCAATGTTTGATAATAGTTGATACAGGTTGATAAGCTTCATGGCTTTTTAATATAAACACTATACTTTTCGGGGTTGAAGTTAAGGTTCGTTAACTTCACCATTGAATAGAACTCAAAAGCAATTGTTTATTTAACAAAAGTTCGTTCTGGGAATGGTTGGATTACCAATATCATTTTGTCACAGTTGTTCTGTGAAAACCTTCTCAATGATACAATAAACTGAGTACTTGATAATATTACTCTTCGAACAGTACGTATCCATTCTTTTCATGTCACATTCCAATCAGTGTTCATGCATGGATTCTTTGTTGCAATGTTTATATTACTTCTGATTGAGAACATTGGAGCATGCAAAAAAAAAAAAAAAAAAAAAAATTCAAATTCGCTCAAAATTAAGGTATATTTATTCAAGTTTAACTTCAATTTTTTTGTCTACCGTTCGCACTGATTATGCATCTTGCTTATCGGAGACTTTTTCCGACTTTTTCCAACTTTATGGTTGAAAGTGCTCCTTACTGGCGTTACAACTTAATGGTAATTTTAAATACCGCGACATTTATCCGGCATACTAATGAGCATATATATTAGCTAATCACAAATGACATCGCAAATAATAAGCTTGGTGCCCCATCTCTCGAGCGACGCGCAATGCATGAAGGGAAGGGCACAACTCCTTCGAGCGTAAAGTAAAGCGTAACGACTGGGTACAAGTCTTTTGGTGCCCCCTGTGATAGGAAGAACTGGAACGGCGACACACAGCGCCCATCTTGCATCTCTGTTGGGTGTGAATTCAGTAGTCATAGAAGTTTCTTCATTTTAAAGCGTTCTTACTTAGTTTTTATGACATTAACTCAGGCGATCTTTGGTTTGAAACCAAAGTGATTCTTTTTATTTTGTAAAATCAGCTGGTTGAGCTTAATAATGTCTGTAAGTTGAAAGACGCTTTGTCAGCTTTGTCTGCAATCATGCGAAAAGAAGCAGTTCTGGCTTCCTCGCTAAATCTCGCTTTACACTGAAGTTCTACCAGGTAAAATACTTTTATATACAACTTAAACGTGCTTTACATATTTTAGTTGACGTTTGTGGGAGAAATTGCTACAATCAATGTGTTCAAATGATCCGATCTTGATTTTGACTTCATTTCCGCATCATAGTCTTATTAATTATTTTTATTGTGCTAGTTCGTCTGAAATTTCTTATCGAGTTTTATCAAATAACTTCTCTTTACAGTATGAATTCAAAAAGCAGATACATACACAAACCAGTGAATCATTGAATGATGGACAAAGAAGAACGGTAAAATAACTGATATAGCTTAATTTATGATTATAATATGAATATTTATTAGTATAAGAATGACGAAGTGGAAATTCAAAAATCATTATTTGTGTTTTTTTTTTCAGGAATTACTGCTGCCTAATACTACTACTTTCCAGGGTAGGCCTGGTAAAGTTACGTCAGTTTTTCATAAACGAATGGGATGCTTTGGGTGGATTTGATCCATGGACTGACTGCAATCAGAATGGTACAGACTTGTTGACAAAGTACACTCCACTTTCTTATGAAAAAGATAAAGTCAAGTCAGGTGACACAACAACATGGGATTTGTCTCTATTTGTTAAAGCTTTGTTGAGATCCAAACCAGCATTTGTACCCAAGTCTAATACTACTTTAGTTGCTGGCTTGGAATGTTTGCAGGAAACAAGAAACACTCTTTGCCACACTGGAAGTGGTAAGATTGAATTGACAGAGTTTACCAAGCTGTACACTGATGCTTGTAATGCATTACTGTTAATTGGTGCTTCATCTGTGGAGTTCAATCAAGTTCAGAATGGTATGCAAAAAGAATTTAAAGAATAAACCATTTTGTTGTGTTCATGTACTGTGCCTACATTCTTACCAAAATACTGCTCAAGTTTCGTTGGCTATAATTAATTAACCACATACTCTAATGCCTTTAAATTTAACTAGAATATGCACTCTGAAAATATTTTTTTTTAGCACCATATGTAATCAGGGGACCAAATGTGTATTTGCTATGAATCTTAAAATGTATAAATTAAGACTTCAATGTTTTTCTCTGATTATTTATTCTTTTCAGACATGCAGCAGCCATGGACTGAAGTGTTATCTCTAGTAAAACAGTGTGCATCACATGATACAGACATCCGAAATGGGATTCAAGCAAGTAAGTACAATTGATAAACACTAAAATATTGTTATGAGGTTTGTACAAACTCAGATTATAGCTCAATTTCTGTATATTGATATACTTAATTCTACAATAATGATTTTAATAGTAAAGCACAGACTAGATGAGGTACTGCAGAACCAGCAACAGTTACAACGAAATCAAGAAGAAATACTACATGGACTTGAAGAACTAAAGCAGGACCAACACCAAGGACAAGAGTCCATAAAGCAAGGACAGTCAGGTCTACAGCAAGGACTTGAAGAACTAAAGCAAGACCAACAGCAAGGACAAGAGGCCATAAAGCAAAGACAGTCAGGTCTACNATAATATGAGTTCGCATCAAGCGTCATGATAACAGTTGTCCCGCTTTTTTATACTCAACAGGACGCATACCCTGTACGCCTCATTAAAACCTTCATYATTTCGCCTCCATTCTGGATTGAATCAGAACTCAAATTTTGCTCAAAACTGTTGCGTGGTACAAACAGAGAAAAGATTCTCTTTGTCTCTCGATCTGGTCTAAAGAACCATTTGTGTTTGGACTGTATTCCTCAAGGACTTGGAGGAAAACTCCATGTCGATTATATGTCATGGATAGACCAGTGCATCCTGGGATATTCTGAGCAACTTGTAAAAGAGCCATTAATGAGGCCAAGATATTGCAATTATAAAGGATGACTTATATCAATTGATGAATTTGTAAATATTGATGATTTATATATATTAGTTTTTATAAATAAAAATATGACGTGAATGAGGACAGTGACTTTCACTTTTCTTTTCCTTGAATACTTTCAAAATATTTACAAAAGCAAAGTACTACATCACAGTTGATCCCTTTGTAGAGTGCGTGGGTTCCCTGTGTTCCCGTCTCCCGGGAATTGTGGGCGGGGTTCCCCAGTATTTAGGGCGATGCGCGGGCTMAGTGAGGGGCAGTAGTTTTCTGGAGCGTTTGAGGTAARCTGAGTAACGATAGGCCAGAGGACCTCGCAAAAATTYAAACATAGCCTACGCCGACATAATCGTAGGAAGCTGTCTGAATAAAGTAGACTTAAAGGAAAAGAAGTTTACATTTGGCGCCCGATGTGGGACTGTTATGGTTTCATCGTGAAAAGGCCCAAAGTTCAAAGTCTTGCTTTCATCTGGTAAGGCTTGCCGTGTATTTTCTTCAAATTTGATTTTGAAGTGGAACATTTGAGAGCTCGCAAGAGTTCTACTACGAGTATTGCTATCTGGAATACCTACAGATTGTTTTGTCCTGAATCATATTTGGACACAATTGGATACTGGAACTATTCTGGAAACAAATCGTCCTTTATCTGTAAAGTGRTTGCTTCTTGCAAGAATTCATTTTTGGACTTGTGTTGGGTTATATTGCTGAGAAGAGCGCTTGGACACCTAGATTGTCGAGTTTTTGTTGGAAAAATTCAAGGTTTAAAGATTGTCTCGCTGAACTCAACTGATTTTGGATTTCGTTTGGTGTTTCGCGTGGTTAACGGATATTGGAACTTAAAAGCACTTATATTGGATCACGCGACGGACAGAAATAAAGTTTGGAGTCAATTGAAGACCAGAGCTAAGTAGAAAAACGTTATTCATGTTTCGTAGTTCAAGAAATATATTGCTTCAAGTGTTACAAAAAAAATCTGAATTGCTAATATCAATTTGTATTTTCAAAGTCATAAGGGAGTTACCTTTATTAGTAAGAATTGTCAAGTTATATCTTCATTTGTAAGAATTTGTATTTTCAAAGTCATAAGGGAGTTATCTCCATTATTAAGAATTATTAATTTCTTTTTGGAAGTAGTAAGGAGTTTTCTTAGGATTAGACTTAACTTTAATTACTTAAGATTTACGTTTAGCAATTAATGCTCTGTTATTTAGTAAGTTGTTGTTGTTTTTCAAGCATTATTGCGTTATTTAAGTCATTTGAAGTACACCGTGTTTTTCAGAGTAATTTTCAGTTGGACATTYAGAAAATTAGTTCATTTCTAAGACGTTACCATTATTGTAATTTATTTTTTGATAACTATTTGGATAATTTGTATTTGTGGAGTCGAGCGGAAAGCTTACGTTTCTATTTTAGCGGGCTTCCTTTTGGGGGGAGGAAGTGATTTTTGTCCTCCGCATCGGATCACGTGTTGTGTTTCATTCGTGCTTGCGCATTSCTCTAACTATTTGGGTGAACGTAAAATCCCATTTCCGCTCGTGTTATTTTTGTTTTCGGGTACACAGGGTTACCAAACCAGAGAGTGGAATTAAGTTGGGTCGTTTCTCTGCTTGCTTGTTTGTTTTTTGAAACAGGATCGCTACTACACCCATCATGAGCTACACACCACAGCGTGATGCTTCCACTCCTAGAACCGAGGAGGAAATTGAAAAACTAGCAGAAGCTGTTCTTACTCTTCGAAGCTCTGGGTTATTCACCGTGGAACCAACGGAGCCTTTGCTGGAGGAAAACCCATTCTGTAATCCACCGTTCGGTTTTGAGGGGCCCGGGGAATTTGTTCGTACGGACAGAGGAGTACGTCGCCGAAAGCGTCTGCAAGAAAATCGGATGACTCAAGCTAGTAGTGCTGAACCTTTTGTAGAAAATATTGAGGA